CAGCAGTGACCTTAGAAAGGGAATCGTTGATGTTCATCAATTTAAGAAAAGTATAAATGGAGTTTCCAAACAATTTTGGAGTCAATTTACAAAGTTGCATCTGACTGAAACGCAGGACTTTTTAACAATGTTGTTTACTTTTTAATTTTCCCACCGATCATTCCACCGACCAACCAACTATTCGACCAACCGATCATCCAACGAACCAACCAAATGATCATTCCACCAACCAACCAACCAATCATTCCACCAACAAATCGTTTGATCAACCAACCAACTGACCATTTGAACAACCAACTAACCAACCAACCGATCATTCAATTAACCAGTCCTTCAACAAACCAACCAATCATTTGATCGACCGACCAACCAAACGATCAGTTGATTAATTAATCAGATTTTGTTTGTAGAGAGCACCGATAAATTCAGCTCAAGTGCTTTATATGACGATAACAATACATAACGATTACAAACTGCGTTCGTACATTCAAAGGAGAATATACAACCATATGCCACTCCATGCAAACTGCACACACAAGTTGCAAATGCACCCCAACCCCATCACTTCACCACACAAAACAGCTCATTCACTTGTTCCTGTATCGTTAACTGAATATAAAAAATAAATAAGTAAATTGTTGCTCAGCTGCTTGTTTAGCAAAAACCAGACAACATGTTTTCATGACTCTGTCAAGCATGGTGGTGGAGAGCTGATGATATGGGATTGTTTTGTAGCCACACAACCTGAGGAACTTCCACTCGTTGAGCCAAACACGAGTGCGTTCTAGAGTCAAATGTGAGGCCATAACAGGACAAAAATACAGGAAAATGTTCATGAGCACAGCTGCAATTCAACAGAAGAACCACTGAGAAAGAGAAGAATCAAAGTGTTAGTTGAAAAGCTACTGAAGAGAGCTGAGCAGAAACAAACATAAAAACCCCAACGAACTGAAACAAGTAGTGCGTAAAATCCTCCCTCCACGATTTGAGTGACTGACAAAGTCAAACAGGTAATAAATTCATCCAGATATTGCTGCTAAAGGTGGTTCTACAGTGTGCTGAATAATGAGACAAATTTAGTCTTTTTACACAAACTTTTTCATGTTTGCTTTGTTTCTATTTAATAACTAATGATTTAGAATA